GCAGGCCATGGGTACCACGGGTGGACTGGAGCCAGGTGGGTCATTTCATCACGATTGAAATGTGTATGTTCAGATGCAGAGGAAGAACAGTCACAAAATGAAGATTTGGGGGAATTTTTACTTTCCTTTACACAGACTGATTTTTTATTTTTTTTTAAGTGCCTCACCAGCTGAAGCAGCATTAAAAAAAGAAGCTTGTTGTGTCTTCCCCTGGATCCCTGGAAGTGTCCGAGGCCAGGTTGGATGGGGCTTGAAGCTGGTGGAAGGTGTCCCTGCCCGTGGCAGGGGGTGGCTTTAAGGTCCTTTCAAACCCAAACCAGTCTGTGATTCTGTGCTCCTGTGATCCCTTAAGAATCTTGCTATATCTTAGGAACCATAAGGAGATGGACTCCCTTGTTTAGTGGACGGAAGTGAGGGGGTTGGGGATGTGTTTGTCCCCCCTCCCCGTTTGTGGCTCTCAGGCTCCTTTGACATGAGTCTCCTCCCAGGCTGGGTCTGATCATCAGCCCCCAGGTGAAGTTGTTCTGGTTGTTGCAGTCTTTGCAGAGATGCAGTGTTTCCATGTGCAGGAGGACACGGCCTCAGCCGTGGGTGATGAGCAGCAGCACTGGGTCCAACTGACCAAGCAGCTGCTAAACCAGCAGGTGTCTGTCCCTGGGGAGGGCTCTGAAATCCTGGGGTTAGCACCCAGGCTGTCCCTGTCAGGGAGCTGGGGGTTGGTTCCCATTTGGTTGCAGTTTCTGGCTGGCTGGCAGCGTGCAGGTGGAGAGGAGCCAAGTTTGCTCTCAGGATGACAGTTTGCTAACAGATGTCTAATGTTTCCCAACACAGTTGGCTCATGTGATGGGAATCGTGAGCTACTTTAGTAAAGCTGAGCAGTTGGATAATTGCAAGCCTTTGCTCCTCACATCTTCTCATTTATCCCTTTTAGCTGCCTAGGTAAGATGGTTGTTTAATCGTTTATTTTTGTTTTATTTGTGGTTCTGGGAGGAAAAGCTTGGGATAGCTCTCGGAGTTATCCCTGTCCTCGCAGGTGGTGGCTCACTGAAATGGCTGGGAAGCTCCAGCAGTGCAAGGAGCCACATGATTTCCTCTCCCCCTGTGCATGGCAGGCATTGCCCAAACGCTTGGGCTGTGGCTCCTGTGCTGCATTCCAAAGGGGTGGGACACGTGGGTGATGGCATTTACTCCTGAGCCCCCTGGTCACTCTGGTTTCTTCCGCGTGATGCCTCTCCTTGCCCACCAGGAGCTGGAGCAAGGCATCTCCTTAGGAGGAATGTTTCCTTTGCAGGGACAGGAAGAAGTGGTGTTCCCAAGGCCCAGCTCTCCCATGGCAGCACAGGGATACCCCTTAGGGCAAGATAGCTGCAGAAAGCCAGGGAGGTCTCAGTAGGTCCCCCTGTCATTCAGATTTGCAGGAAACCTTGGAGAAGAGCCTGGGAGGCTCTGCAGGATGCTCCTGTTTAACTTTTAGGTCTGAATCCCTCTTTCCCTGTGCTGCTTCCTGTTGTCCCACCTCTCCTGTCAGCTCCAGCTCTGCCAACCCCACTTTGGTGCGGGGTGGGTAATAAGACCCACTATCAGTAAGCAAAAAACACCTTAAGAGTGCATTGGGAATAGATTCCTGGCCTCCCACGGGCTCTTGGGGAAATCATCTCAGCCTTCATTTTTAAAAGCTCTTTATTAAAGAGCCATCTTTTCCTTGGTTTTCCCTTTTTTCCCCAGTATCTTTTCTTTTTGTGCACTTCCAGCTATGATTTTCCCGGCATTTGTGCCTGTGAGGCAGCACAGTGACCAAAATGTCCAGAGAAGGGTCCTCTCTCCCCCCTAATTCAGCTAGAGGCAGACAGCCCCAGGAATCCCAGCCCAGGACATTCCAGCCTTTCCTCTGCATTGCTCCAGCACCTCCCTGACCATGCTGGGAATGCTGATCCTGCCCTGAGCTTGCCCAAGGTGTCTTCCCAGGTCAGGAAAGCACTTTCCCCTCTGGAAAGTTTTGGAACAGCAGCACAAGGCTGCAGATTTGGAATAAAACCGATGGAAGTGCCGGCTGGGATGAGCCTGTGGCGTCTGCAAAGTGATGCCCAGAGGAAAAATGCCCTGACTGGCACATTCCCACAGAGGATGAGTGATTCCCACCTCTCCCTGCACAGGTCCAGTCAAACTGCCTCTACCCCCATCCCTCCCCTGCTGGAACTTCTTTGCTGGGCATGACCCCGCCCTGGAACAGCTTGCCCAGAGAGGGTGTGGGCTCTCCCACTCCAGGGATATTCCAGAGCTGTCTGGACACCATCCTGTGCCACGTGCCCTGGGGTGGGAGCAGGTGCTCCACTGTGTCCCTTCCAGCCTGAGCCGTTCTGTGACTGTCCCAAGCATCCTCCTCACTGTCTTTATCCTGGTCCAGAACTGAATCTTTTCGACAGCCACACCAGTATTAACATTTAATCTACTTCTGTATTTCTTGGCTCTGCCCTCCCCGTGCCCTGAAGGAGTCTCTTTACTTTTGGAGGTGATAAAATATGACATCACCAATGTTTTTCCTATAAATGTGTGGAGCGAGGAGCACAAGCTGGAAAACCTTGGGAGCTCCAGGGAGCAGCACGCTCAGCTTAAGCAAGTTGGAGGACGGGAGGTGAATTCCTGTTCTAAATATCAGGATAAGGATCATGCCCCCAGCTTCTGATTTAGGAGATGGCAGGGGAGTATTTGCACTTTGATCTTTCTGTTGGAGAGGTTTATCCTCAAGCTTTGCAGGACTGAAGTGCATTTACAGCTGTAAGTTTGTAGGAATTTGGTGTTCACCTGGACGTTGACATTTGTAGGTGGGGATAAAACAGAATTCAGCTGGGGCTGTTGTTAGGAGGCACGAGAAGGGCTTGTTTGCTTGATTTTGCACGTGTTTTGGTTTCACTGTATACTTTGGACATTTCTGTTGGGTGTTGGATGCTTGTGGCACCTCTGGAAAAACTGCATCCAATCTGTTTCCCCTACTTGTGTGTACAAACGCCACCTGAGCAGAGAATTAGCCCAGAGGTTTCCAAAAGCAATCACAAGAATGCTGCAGGTACATTTTCTAAGCAAAATAATACCTGCACACTTCTTTTTACATGTTCCAGTGAAAATCCAGAAGCTTTCAGCTTGCACAGCCTGGACTGTGTCCCTGCCCATGGCAGGAAGGGTGGAACTGGATGGTCTTTCAAGGTGCCTTCCAAGCCAACCCATTTTTTGACTCCTAACCTGAAGTTTGGCCGTTAAGGGAAATTTTCTGTGCTGGGATTTCACCTTCATCTCAGTTATAAATCATGAAGGGCGTTTAACTGGTCCGTACCAGTGCTCTAATTTTTTATCATGGAAATTAGAGCCCTTTGCTCTGTCACCCTAAGATGATGTGGCTGCTGTGGTTTAGAAGGGGATGTCTGAACGTGTGGTAGATTCAGCAGAGGTGCTTTGGTGGCTGGTTTAAGATGCACCTCGTGAGGAGCACAGAGCAATCAATAACAAGGTTATCCCAAGTTCAGAGCAGGCTCTGTGCTCATTGGTTTCCCAAGTCGGATGCATCAGGAACAAGGTCACCCAGGGGATCTGGTGACAGTATAAATAATAAAGCAGAGCTGAAGTAATTTGTTGGCAGCACCACACCCTCCCACCCCCCCAAAGAGAAAATGATGCTTTACTGCATCAGATCTGGGGCTTGATGGTGTGACCTTTCACATTTCTTGACACCCATTTTTCCCCCTTTCGCTTGAAAAATGATGGGTTTTTGCTCTCTGTCCCCCAGCGTCACTGGAGTTTTAAATAGACTCAGGAAGGTGGTTTGAAGGGAATCAGTCAGGAAATCAATTCCAAGCCGTTAATGACACAGAGCCAGGCCGTGACGGACGGGGACGGTCAAAAGCTGGGCAGGTGGATCTGTGTGTGCACGGGTCCCACTGGGGTGGTTTGTCACCAGCACCCTGCACAAGGGAAGCCTCCAGGTGAAACAGGTGATTACAGTCTGCTAATTGCTAAAATTAGGAGTGCAAAGCACCCAGCTGCCCTGTACCCCCTCCATGCCTCCCTCCATAATCAGCCAGCTCCCTTTTCCCATACGAGTCTGCGCTGCCGCCGGCCAAAGGTCGGGCGCTCGCGGGGCCTCTGCGGCAGCTGAATGTCACATTTTATTGAGTGGGTGGATCCTGCTCATCCATTTCCCCTCCGAGCCTTGCTAAAAATAGCACAAACCTTAACAAGGAGCTATTTTGGAGGAATCATGTTCATGGGGGTAGTCATGGGAAGCTTATTTTGGCAGGCTTGCATGTGTTTGATTTGCATGCTGCCCCCGGTCGGGGGCTTGGTGGACGCCTGTGGGAGCCAGTTGGACACAGGCTAAAGAGAGGGAGCATCTGGATTTTGGAACCTGGGTTGGGACAGCTACTCCAAGTGAGTTTACAGGAGAAAAAGAAGGAAGATACCCTTATAGGAATGTTGATATGTGACTGAAGTCATTCATTTCAGGCATTTGCACACCAGCCCACAGCTTATCGGATCTGATTTCATAAAACCTGGCTGTGATTTCTCTCCAGGGACCTTAATGATCTTGCCACTTCCAATAAACATTTATAGAAACTACTGCCGGCCTGTGGATAAGAGAAACTCCTATGAGAGACTTTTATCTTCCAAAAATACTCAAAGACACCAAAAAAAAAAAAAGCCAAACCAAAAAAAAAACCAAACCAACCAAACCCCGCAGGAGAAGATCACCAGAAAATGCCCTGCGGGTGGCTGGAGCTGAATTGCAGTGCCAGGCGTTTGCTTTGTAGCCATGCCTAGGGAGGTTTGCTCTTCTCCCCTGGAAAGCCGGAGCGGGGCTGGACGCGGGACCGGCAAAGCCATGAGCGAGAGCGCAGCGTGAGGGCGCAGATGGCCTCGCAGCAGGTCCCGTGCCGCGCGGCTGTGCTGCCACACGGTGCCCATGTCTGCGCCTCTAAGAGATTTCCCTTTTTTCGCCTCAAAAACTCCAGATACGAAGCCGAAGCTGCCTTCTTTGCCAACCTGAAACTGGCCGACTTCAACATCATCGACACCCTGGGAGTTGGAGGCTTTGGCCGAGTGGAGCTGGTAGGTGACCTCTCTCCCTGTTCTGTGCTGTGAGCATTCATTTTTCTTAATTGCACCTGAGGGCATTATATGATGGGATTGTATGTTTTCTAACGGGTGATGAAAGATACATCATGTTGCCTGAGAGGTAAAAATGTAGAAAGAAAGGTTTGCAGTAACAAGAAGAATTTATGTAGTGGGCTGAGAGAGATTAACTCGGTTGGTGCTGATAACACCAAGGTTGTGGGTTTGCTCCCTGTATGGGCCACTCAGGAGTTGGATTCAGTTATCCTTGTGGGTCCCTTCCAGCTCAGAATGTTCAGTGATTCTCTCTCCAAGTGGTTTATGGCATTGATTTATGGCCTTTTAAAAACAACCTGTGTGGCTGTTGAGCGCTAGGATTAAAAAAGCAACCTAAAATGTTACTCGACCAAAACCAGAGTGAGGTACCGTGTCGCTCCCAAGCAGTTTCTAATCCAGGTCTGGAGATAGTTCTCCTGCAAGCCGTACATTCAGTGCCTGCACCATGGCTAAACATCCCAGAAAGCCACAGAACTGTAGAGAAAAGGCAAAGTCTGAGCTTGCTTTTTGCCCTGTTGGATTCCGAGCCCGTTATTAAAGCAGAGAGGAGACCCAGCAGCAGCCGCTGTGGGGCCCGTTTGTGACACCCCCTCAGTGCAAAAACTTAGAATAGAAAGAGAGAGTTCATTTACATCACAGAGGAGCTCCTGACACCGGGCACTGGCACAATATGTCAGGAACTCCTACAAGTTAGGGGCAGAAAAGGAACGGAGTTGCTGTTGCTGTCACTGAACTTCAGAGAAAGCCCCGCTCCATAGCCCTGTGGGAAAAAATGAACCCATAGTGCTGGGAGTTGGAAAATGGGGCAGAATGAGGTGTTTTGGTGATTATTTGTGAGAAAAAGTGTAATTCCATGTTCAGAGCCAACTGCCCTGGGATTGATTTCTGACTTTTCCTGGTTGGATGTGCATAAGGTGGTGTGGAGGAGAGAGTGTCTGGGAGAGTGTCGGTCCCTTCCTGGGGTTTGGGGTTTCATTTGTTACTTGTTTGCTTTTAATAAGCTAGTTGTTTTGGAAGAGAGTCCCAAGAGCTCCCACAGAGCCTGGGAAGGATGATCTTTCCCTGCTCCTTCTGTAGTCATCTGCTGAGGATGCTTTAGGGCAGGAGTTTAATCTGGGTTGTGCTCTTTTGGAGTCCCTTCATCCTCTATCGACAGCAGCTCAAAGCTCAGGAGATTTGTCTGCTCAATTAACACCACTGCTGGCTTCTCCACCCAAGGTGACCTGTAGTGAGGGGTCAGGACTGGGTTAGGGCTTGGTTTGAGTCTTGTGAAGGAGCTTGTGAGGTTTGTTCTGTTTTTAAAGGCTGCCAAGGTGTTTGAAAAGCCCAGGGTGTCCCTGGGAAGGTGCATGGACTTGTCTTCAGGAGGGGCGGGGGATGAGCCCCTCAAACCACACCCTGGGCCAGTCCTCTGCCTCTGGCTGCTCCCAGGGTTCGTGTGGCAGCTTTAGGGGGATGACGAACACTACACTTGCCCAGGAGAGAGGAAGAGCAGCAGTGGCTGTTCACTGTCACTTCAACGTGTCAAGTAGAAATATTTAATTCTGAGGGTGATGTCCAAATCTCAGAGGCCTCCAAGAAGCCCTGAACCTACTGATGGCAAAAGCATTTTCATCACCTCACAGGGATTTTCTTCTTCCCTCTCCTAAGCAGGAAAATGCTGGTTCAGCTCATTTTTAGCTAATGCTGAATTGCACACAGAAGGATAAAAGATAGTTAAAAGTGTAGCTCAACACTGCAGATTTTATTGTTTTTCTTTACCACAGAGGGAAATGTTGTTGTAAAACCAAGAAAATATTCTTTTTGTCAAAACAGAGCCTAAAATTGCTACCTTTTGCTTCCACCTCCTCCATGAAAAATATGGGTTTATTATTTCAGGCTAAAAATGGAACGAAATGTAAAACACAGCGGAGGAATTGACTCTTTTATTGCCTGAGTGTGTTACAGGAGCCTGTTAGTGCAGGAATGTCCCAGGAAAACATTCACAGTTTTGGGCTTTCCAAGAGTCAAATTGTTCAAATGAGTAAAGTACATTGCAAGGAGGAGGATTTTTATAGTGGAGTGAGTTCCCCCGGGATCATCCCTGTACCACTCAAGAGAGAGCTGGGGTTGCTCTTCCTCATCCCCAACTGCACTTTGTGAGCAACTTCTGTCCAGGCTTCTCTTGAGGGGATAAACCTTCCAGGGTTGGAGAGACCACAGTGGGCGCTGAAAATAACAGGAGTGGACTTTTTGGGATGCATCCACTGTTTTCTGCAGCTCAGCTTCTCTGCTGTGTCAGTTGAGCATCTCCTGCGCTGGGATCCAGGTGCCTCAGTAACAGGTGGGAGTAGGGAATGTCCCCTCCTGTTCATGTCCTGCTTTGCACAGGACAGGGATGCGGGTCAGGAGTCCCCAGCCCTCGTAAATCATCTCTCCTGGGCTTTATTGCTCTTGTCTTTGTTCCTTAATTTCCTTTTCAGTTGAGTCCTGTGCTTCCAGTTGTCTGCCCCAGGTCAGTTCTTTTGGTTTGATGTCAGGATTATTTTTGACAGCTCTGAAACAAAGGTGGGAGTACCTGAACACGTGGGATTAGAGTCACTGTTGCCTGGAAATCAGTTTGTGGAGGTGGTGGCTGAGCACAGGTAACAGTCAGGTCCATGTCCTCTGGGTGACACACGGCTTGGGGCATCCTGGGGCTGCTTGAAGACCCCATCACCCAGCAGGGTCAGACATTCCTAACTGCTTCTGATCACTTCTCCCTAATTTCTTGTTGGAGTCTTTGGGGAAGGAGGTTCTCAGGAAGTTTTACTCCTAGTATTGATTGTCTCCCTGCTGTGGCTACCTAGAAACACAGACACACGCAGAGAATAAAGGCACACACAAAACCACACACGTGAAGTTTCAACCACATTTTATGGGGGCCTTACAAGACCCTTTTTAAATGGACACCACAGCACTTTTCAGTTTTATTTGGGTTTTAAGAGAAATTTGGCCACAGATTTTGAAGCACAATCAAATCTATTACAGCCTCTAGCCTAAACAAAGCCATTAGGGAATTAATTAGATGGCAATGACAAAAAGCAATGCAATTGTCTCCCTATGGCCTGACAGATGCAGAATTCAGATATTTATTAGTGGAAATTTCCAATTGCATGTCCCAGCTATTAAAAAGTTTTCTGTTAGAAAGGTCGAGTTTCGCTTTTTGAATCTCCTGATTTTTATTTTTAGTTGTCAGGATTGACCTCCAGCTGTGCCAGGGGAGGGACAGGGGGGACAGCAGCAGGAATTTCTCACTGGAAAGGGTGGTCAGGCACTGGCAGGGGCTGCCCAGGGAGGTTTGGAGTGCCCAGCCCTGGAGGTGTCCCAGGAGTGTGGATGTGGCACTCAGTGCTCTGGGCTGGGGACAAGGGGGGCATCGGGCACCCATCCAAGGGGGGATCCATGGGCTGGGAGGACTTTTTCAACCCAAATAATTCTGGGATTCTGTGAATTCTTTGGCCTCCATCCTTTTGTAAGAAGAGGCCTTTTGGGTGCCATCAAGGGGAAGAAGTGGATTTAAGAGAGGGATTTAAGTAAATCCCACATTCATCTGAGCTCCTCCTGAGCTCAGCAGAACGCTGGTTAGGATGACTTGTCCCTTTTTTCCCCATCCCTTCCCAGTGTTCGCAGCAGATTGCCTTCCTCAGGGTATGCAGGGTGCTTCATTTCAGCCCCACAGTCAGATGGGGCTGCACCGCTGCAGAGCTGGTGTTCTGTGATTGTCCCTGGGGTTTGAATTCCTGCTGACACGAAACGCATCCTTTGTCGATGGAAATGTTCTCAGGGGCTGCCTGGTAATGGGAAGGGTCTTGTCAAGGTTTGGAAGGCTGAGATGTGTTCACAGCCCGTGAAACAGTGGCAGAGGCGGGTCAGGATGTGAGCTGTTGAGCCCGAGGCTCCAGCTCCTGTTGGAGGGAGGGATAAGCCATAAAAAGAGGTGCTATTTTACAGAGAAAGCCAAAGTGGGGAGCAGAGCAGGATCACTGTGACCTTCTATGGAGTGTGGGTCCATTTGATATTTTCAAGACACCACAGCAGTGAGTTTTTCCGTTGAGTCTCACATATTTTAGCCATATAACCCTTCTTCCACTATTTGCTTTTTATGGGAATGATTTTATGCATGAAATCGTTGACATTCCTCACTGCTTTTTAGCCTTCTGCCTGTAGACATTTTTGAAAGATAATATTTACCTCTGGGCTTTACAGGAAGACACACATTTTAATATATTTTCCCAATGCCCTTTGCTTATAAAAAACTTCGCTGTGTGTCTTGTCAAGCACTGAGAATAAATTTTCAGTAGAGGGATAAAAATGTAGAGTTAAAGGGGTTTAGCACAGTTGATTATTTGATTAGAAATTTTTAAACAGCTGAGATTTTCCAAGGACTGTGGGGGTTTTTGTGTGTATTTCTAGAGTGTAGTTTTGCAATTTATTTTCCTGTAGAGTCCCAGAGCACTTCCATTGTGATACAATATTTAGTGCTTTCCCAACCAGTGGAATCCAGACTTTTCCAAAGAAAATAAGGTCACTTTCCACCCTGATGCCCACTTGGAGTTCACTCTGGATTCATCCTTCAAAACCTCAGCCTAGAGCACATCTTAAAGGCTTAATTCTTACTCCATGATTTTTCTTTCCATCTTATTATAGAATTAAAGTATGGTTTTAGTTGGAAGGGACCTCAAAGCCCATCCAGTGCCACCCCCTGCCATGGGCAGGGGCACCTCCCACCAGCCCAGGCTGCTCCAAGCCCCGTCCAGCCTGGCCTGGGACACTGAGCACCACTGAGGGCTTGGAGGAAGCATCAACCTGAGCAAGACATTCCCTAAAAATCAAGAAACACTGGCAGGAAAGCAAGTTCTGTAAGGCAAAGAATCTTGTTGTGGGGGTTTCTCTTTCACCCAGGAAGAAGGTACAAACATTTTAGTGGGAAAAGCTTGCTGTGCTCTCTGGCTGGGGGTGGGGAAGGTGCCTCTTTGTTGGTGCAGCAGTTCAGCTGTCGGGATCAGCAGAGCTCAGCTTGCGAGCGCTGCGCTCAGCAACAGCTGCTGCTATTTACGGTGGTCTGAATAGATCTAGCTGGGCAAAAATCAGGGACCCTGGGCATGCCCAGCGAGCTGAAGAGTTTGTGTCCAGCTCCTAAAAGTGTATTTAGGAAAAAGCTTTACGTCTCCAGAGTAAATGGAGTAGTTTGTGCAGGCACAGCCTCTGCTCCCTGTGTGTTCCCACGGAGCTGGGAGCCCTTGGACAGCAGGGCTGTGGTGAGCAGGGTGTCCAGACTCAAACAAAATCCTGGACTGGTTTGGGTTGGAAGGGACCTTAAAGCTCATCCCACCCCACCCCTGCCATGGGCAGGGACACCTTCCACCAGCCCAGGCTGCTCCAACCTGGCCTTGGACACTTCCAGGGGCAGCCACAGCTTCTCTGGGCACCCTGTGCCAGGGCCTGCCCACAGGAACAGGGAAGGATTCCTTCCCACCATCCCATCTATCCTGCCTTGTGTCCATGGGAAGCCATTCCCCCTTGTCCTGTCCCTCCATCCCTTGTCAATAGTCTGGAAGGCTCAGGCACCTCTTTGTGGAAAATCAGTCCTTCTAGGGGGGATTTTTCTGCATTCTGGGAAATCTTTATTAACATTTCCAGTTCCTGCAGGTCAGCTGGGATTGTATCAGTTGTGCTGTCACCGGAGCTGACCATCTGGAATACACATACCTGATTTATAGTAAACAGGGGCAGGCAAAGAGGAAGGGTAAGGAACATGTAGAGCTCTTGTTCTTTTTTTCTTTTTTTTTTTTTTTTCCCGTTGAGGCCTGGATTTTGTCTGCTTAATAGCCATTTTCTCAGAAAGTCTGAAAAATCACCAAGGTGTAAAACTGTATTTATTTATACATGAGTTATAATTGTTAAAAAACAAACAAAAATCAGGCCTTGAGGGATTTTGGCCTCTGTGTGTTTTGGAAGGTGCAGAAGTTTATAGCCATAAAACAAAGCAATGATTTTTGGAGTGGTTCCAGCCCGGGAGAATTCACCTCTGATCCTATGGATCAAGGGCATGGAAAAGCAGAGAGGTTGGATCTCTCCTTTTTCGCTTGTCTTCATCACAGAATCATGGAATGGTTTGGGTTGGATGGGACCTTCGAGATGATCTCATTCCAACCCCCTGCCATGGGCAGGGACACCTTCCACTGTATATATATGTGGATATAGATACAAATATAATATTTTTATTTTAGATATAAAATTTATATAACATAATGCATAACATAATATATAAAATATAATCATGTAAACAAAATATAAGTTTTATATGAATTTTATAACTTTGGGCAAAGTAGAAACTATTTTTATTCTATTTTCCTTCTACAATTGTCGTGTTTAGTTACAAGCGAGATTCCTGCTGTTATTTTTTCACTGGGGTGCAGTTCATTGCCTGCATCAGAATCCTGCAGAATGACCCAATCTAATTAATTTACCCCCTTCTCTGGTTTTGGACATCACCCATTTAAGATGGTGTTTGGACTTTAACTGCACTCCCTACTTATCGGATTCTCTTGCGTTTTGGAGTGAAAATACGTTCCTGTTTCACATCAGAAAGGGTTTGTACCCTCCTTCAGGGGGTCATTTTTGACAGAGAGGGCAAGAGCTGGAGCAGATTGAAGTACAGCTTTACCAGGGGATTGTTGTGCTGGAAATGATGGAATGGTGAGAGAGATCGTTTTGGAGATGTTTGGTGAAAGGACAAGGACTGGGGAAGGTCACTGTGAGGAGAGGGGGGGGAAAGGGGCAGGGAAGGGACCAGAAGTTGTTCCAAGTTGCAAAAGCAAAGGAGTGGGAGCGGTGGCGTTGCCCTGGGTGGATCCCCCAGGGCTCAGCTGCGGCAGAGGAGCCGTGGGAAGGGCAGGCTCCAGCAGGGCTGCAGCAGATCCACGGTGCTCAGATCCTGCTTCCGAGGGAGGGAAAGCTGAGCTGGCAGCCAGGATGGCTCCTTTCCTTTTCCCAAGGAAAACAGCACTCTTTGCCATTTCCTGAAGGGGCTGGGGGGTTGGGGTGGGTTTCTTTGGGGGGCTGAGCGTCCTGCCCAGCGTGCCCCCTCCTGAGCCGAGCCCCAAAGTCCTGGGGATGCTGGGGTTCCGTGGGCTGGTTTTCTCCTCAGAGCTGAAGGAGAGGCTGTTCTTCCCAGCCCATTCTCATCTTCTCAAGGTTAATCCTGTTTGGGGATTGTTTTAAAAATCAAAAGTCCAGATGACTCCTAGATAATTCTTTTTTTCTACTTCTAAAATGATACTGGGATTAGACATGGAGGGTGTATTTTGTATTAACTAACCCAAGCTTAATATTAAAAGCTATTCTTTAATGGTAAGCTATTCTTTAACAGAAATGACCTGGAGTTCCCCACCTTTGCATCATAAAAACAGTCCCCACAGTCGCCTCATTTGGCAGAAACACCAAAGCAGGGAGAGGACTCAGGAGTGCTGGAGAAGGAGGAGACTACAGGGCTCCTTTTCCAGGTGGACAATCCTAAATTTGAGCCTTAGATTCTGTACCTGGCCAGCTTGTTTTGGTGCCTTGACAAGTTTAATGCAAATTAATCCCCCCACAGTCTCAAATTCCATCAAACCCTCTGCCTTCTGAGGGAGCGGGAATGGAAAATGGATCTAAATTCTCCAGTGGCATTAGGTCAAAGTCTTGCATTAGCGAATTGCAGCTGCCTGGTTCTTCTATATTTAAACATTTGTGGCAGTGCTAACATCATCAAACACCAAATAAAACCACTGCCTGCTACTTCCTCGTGGAAATTTCCTTCCCTGGACTTACTTTGAAGCTGTCTAGGAACGCAGGTTATTTCCCCAGAAATAATTCCATCCCATTTCTCCATCCCTGAAAAAAAAAAAAAATGGTAATGGAATGAAAGAAATAGCCCTTTTCACAAAAATTAGGAAGTCAGAATCCATGGGATTCAACACTGAAGGGAACACACTGGGGTTTATTCGTAGCACCCTTTATTCTCTAAGTTTGGAATTTATTCATCTGAGCCTCCACCAGGTTTTGGTGTTTATTTTTACACTGATTAACATCAGGAAAATAGGAATTTGTGTTTCAAAAGTTCAGAGTGGGTTGGGTTTTTTTATGTTTCACGTCCAAATCAGAAGCCAAATTCCGACAGGGAAACCGAAACAGAAGTTGCCAGATGGCACCTCTTGCTATAAGAGGGGAAAAGCATCTAACTGGCAATGTTGTTGTGGGGGGCTGTGGGGGGAATTCAGCAGACCAGGAGGCCTGGTAGGTCAGCGCTGAGGTTCCTTTCTCCTCTGGAGGGCTGGCCTCGATGGGACAGGCGGCCACCATCCAGCTGGCTCTGGGAGAGCTCAGGGTGCAGGAGTTACCAGGGCTACACCAGCAAACAAGCAAACAACTCCTGCCAACCTTGTCAGGGCAGGCAACCTAAAAATAGGCTGGGGAGGCTTAAGGTTAAAAGTAAATTCGTGCCCAGGCAGCGCTGCTGAAAAGCCAGGTCTTCTCCTCCTCTGCAAACATGCAAGGACTGCCATTCCTGCGTGGTAACTGGCAACGTCTCCTGACCAACAGTTGGCTTGTCCCTAAAAATGTGGCATTTTAGGAATGGCCTCTCAGTCTAGCAGTCAGCCTGATTTAGAAAGCAGGTTGGTCCAACGCAGAGCTGATGGCTGAGGGGCGAGAGCGGCGGGTTGGGTGCTGGCATGGGGGGAGGTCCCCACACGCTCCTGTGAGCCCTGTTTCTGAGCCTGCTGTTCCCCCCAAGGTGCAGCTGAAGAGCGAAGAGTCCAAGACGTTCGCCATGAAGATCCTGAAGAAGCGGCACATCGTGGACACGCGGCAGCAGGAGCACATCCGCTCCGAGAAGCAGATCATGCAGAGCGCCCACTCCGACTTCATCGTCAGGTACCACCCCAGCCTTCCCTGCCTATCCCACGCTGCTCCAAGCCCCGTCCAGCCTGGCCTCGGACACTCCCAGGGATCCAGGGGCAGCCACAGCTTCTCTGGGCACCCTGTGCCAGGGCCTGCCCACCCTCCAGGGGAGAATCCCTGTCCCAGCCCTAAGCAAGTGTGGTTCTTCAGGGAATAAAATCAGGTACCAGGCATTTGTGGTTGTTTTCACCCCAGCAGTGATGTTCCCTGGCTCTCCAAGGACGGTGAGTGTGTGTCAGCAGGAAGGAGAGGTCAGGGTAAGAGCAGTGGGGGGTGAGGAGCTCAGGTCACGCAGCTGGGCCCATCCGAAAGGGCACCTAAGCTAAGGGTGCTTCATCCCACCCTCAGAGATGCCTCAAACACTTGCCTTTTGCTGGAGGAGATCAAACCACTCCCCAGAACTGCTCTGGAGGGACAGACAAACCCCTGGGGAAATGCAGAGGGAAGCACGAGGTACCCATCGTCACTGAGGGGGTGTTCCCTTGCCGGGCTGATCCCTGGGATTCCCCCAGAGCCCATGGCTTCAGCTCTGATTCATGGGTGACAACTGCAGGGTGACACCCTGTGGGCTCTGGTGTTGGATTCCCAAACATGCCCCCGTTCCCTAGGCTGGAGCCAAACAGACCCTGGGGCTATTTCAGCCTCTGGATAGATTTTCGGAAGCCTGAGCTGTGTTGGGTGGGGAAGGAAGGGAAGGTGTCCAAGCAGAGGGGCAGTTGCCACCATTGCCAGAAATTCCCTCTCCTAAATAAAGCCTGAGCCTGCAAATGTTTCCTAAGGGAGCCACTGATCTTCATGGCTAGTAAACGAAATCCTCCTCCATTCCCACTTCTCATCCTCTCAGCAGGCAAGGAAAACAAGGAGGTGTCAGCTGCAGGTCTTCTCCTTCCTCATCCTGCAGTAATTCCCACCCTTTACAGGAACAACCCTCCCTGAACTATATTTAATACATTTACAACTGGAGGCTGTCTGATCCGCCCAAATAATGCCCTTTTATCGTGTATAACCTTTAGGTTTCCACTGCAGTTGATTGATAAATAATATTTGATTTTTTTTTTATCTGCCCAGAAAATTTTCTGCAAAGCAAGTCTTTCTTAGCTAGAGCAAGCCTTTCAGCAGTATTTCAATTACCAAGCAATTAAAAATGTGTAGTTGCATTTTGGATTGTTGAAGGTTTCTGTAAACCTTCATGTAGATGAAATAGTGGGGAACTCAGGTGAGAGAGGGGTGAGACAGGCTCGTTAGCTGGTGCTGAGAGGGCTGTGGAAGAGCTGAAAGAGTTAATTCTGTGATTCTGTGTTTATTAAGATAAGTTGTATTTTGGTCAACTGGCTTTTAACTACCTTAAAAGCAGCGCCTTTCTTGTGTCACCCCCTGGAGCAGTGACATTTGTACACCCCCTTAGCCTTGTGCTGCTTCCTGGGATGAGTCCTAGAGCAGCACAATTGTTTGGGTTGGAAAACACCTCCGAGATCACCCCATCCAACCACCAAGCCAGCGCTGCCCGGGGCGTGTGGAAGTGGGAACGTTGGGCACCGGGTTAATTTGGGATTTTCTGCTTTGGCACCGCCAGGCTCTACAGGACGTTCAAGGACAGCAAGTACCTGTACATGCTGATGGAAGCCTGTCTGGGGGGAGAGCTCTGGACAATTCTCAGGGACAGGTGAGTTGGAGGAAACTGTTATCCTACAGATTGGAATGCTTTCTAATATCATGGGATTGTAGGATGCTTTGGGTTGAAAAGCCCATCCGCTTCCACCCCCCCATGGGCAGGGCACCTTCCACCAGCCCAGGCTGCTCCAAGCTGGCCTGGGAAAGCAAAGGTTAAATTCTTGTTTAATCCCCTACAAAAGAACAAATCTTTCTGTAGTTGTTCCTTTTCCCAGCAGCCTTCTCTGCACCACTGAAACAAGGACTGCAGCAAAGTTAGGAGGTGGTGGGTTGGATTTTCCACCACCTTTTGTCAGATCCTGATAATTTCATCTCCAATTCTCCGGGATTTAAGCTGGGCTGCTGCTGCCACCTAGTTTAGACTCAGCCAGCTCCCAGCAGGCAGAGGACGTGGTTTTCCTTGGAAAACCGGTTGCAAATTATAGAAATTAATTCTAGAAAGAACTCGATGTATTTTAAGATGTGAAGGTGGTTTGAGGGCAAAGATGTTAACTTCAAAAATGGATACTAATCAAATTATTATTACATTAATGGATATGAAATAAATTGATATATAAATTGATATATAAAAGGTGAGTCAAGCAACAGGCATCTCCCAGGCACTAGAGTGATTCTACTGAACTGTATAGATATTTTATAGATGTTTTATCATATTGATAGGTATTTTATCATCTGTGTATTTTAATCTAAAGAATTAAGTCCATATGGGAGGGCTGCCCTTCCCATCCAATGGCTTTATCCCCTTGCCCTCTCTCATTCCCTGCACAGGGGTTCATTTGAGGATTCCACGACCAGGTTTTACACGGCGTGTGTGGTGGAAGCTTTTGCCTATTTGCATTCCAAAGGGATCATTTACAGGGACCTCAAGCCAGAAAACCTCATTCTGGATCATCGAGGTTATGCCAAACTGGTGAGATCCTGAGTTTGGGTGGCCCAAAACGAGTCACAGGAGGTGTCAGGGCCGAGGGGACACGGGTCACAAGAGGGTCCTGTCTCTGGGGGTGGCCACCAGTAGGTGCGGAGATGGGAGTGGGACGAGGGTGTTTTCCCAGCCTGCAGCAGGGCTCAGGATTGGGCTGGGAAGTGCTGATTCCAGCTGGAAGTTCAGGTCTGTGCTCCTGGAATGTTTAGGAAAGAGCACAGGGAGAAACCCCCCCGGCTGTTTCGGAGCTACTGAAGGGGTTGAAAATAGTTGTGTGTGTGGGACAGGGGACAGCGAGGTGTTGGATGATGGGGGATGATTGAGGGTGATTAGATGCAAGACTGGCCTTCTCCCACCCCAGGAGGAACTAGACCTGGATCTCTCCTGGCCCCATCAGCAGCCCGCAGCTCCTTAGACATTTTGGCCTCCCTGAGCCACAGGATGATGGCAGAGGTGCCCTACAGCAAAACAAACCAGTTCAGACCGGTTCAAACTGAGCTCTGCCCTGGCCCCAGAGTGCTTCCCTTCCCACTGGCACCTCATTTTCCATGCCTGCCAGTGGCATTCTGAGGTTTGAGAGCCCACCAGCACATCCCAAGAGCCTCCAGCAGACCGGGAGGACACTGGTGGTGCTTCACTCTTTGTGGCAGGAGAGAACTTTGCAACAGGTGCCAAAATGGCCAGTGCTGAGCCTGAATCACGGGATCATGGGATGGTTTGGGTTGGAAGGGACCTTAAAGATCACCCAGTGCCATCCCTGCTATGGGCAGGGACACCTCCCACCAACCCAGGGTGCTCCAAGCCCCCTCCAGCCTGGTCTGGGACACTCCCAGGGATCCAGGGGCAGCCACAGCTCCTCTGGGCACCCTGTGCCAGGGCCTGCCCACCCTCACAGCCAGGAATTCCTTCCCAATATCCCATCTAACCCTGCCCTGTGGCAGTTTAAAATTATTCCTTGCTCAGGTTACAGATGGGAATTTAAAGGAAAAGTGAAAGCAAAATGAATCAAACCTTAGCTGTGAGTGACAGGAAATTACAACTCCCAAGAAACCCTCAGTGCTGCTGTTTGTTCTTCTTCCCTCGTGAGAACTTTCCTTTCCCACTACAAGGGCAAACCAGCAAAAACCCTCTGGTGCCCTGCCCTGACGTCCCTCTGCCCCTTTCCCCAGGTCGATTTTGGCTTTGCAAAGAAAATAGGATTTGGAAAGAAAACATGGACTTTCTGTGGCACCCCGGAGTACGTGGCCCCCGAGATCATCCTGAACAAAGGTCATGACATTTCAGCAGACTACTGGTCACTGGGAATCCTAATGTATGAGCTCCTGACTGGCAGGTATGGCCATTGGGGCTGGGAACACATCCCACTGTTTGTGCTGTTGTCACCCTGATTAGGCCAGGGCGGGTTCAGGGCTGGCATGTGCTGGCCTGGACCTCACTGTCTGCTTTTCCACTCTAAATCGCTCATTTTGGGCCCTGAGTGAGCCTGGTGGGGAAAGGGAAAGGGTTTGCTCTCAGCTGAGAAGAGGAGGAGGTAGACTGGGCACTGTGGGGATGTGGGTCCCTGTGTCCAGCCCTTCCCTCATTTATTTGCAGTTTGGGTTTGGATATTATCGCTGATGGGGGCAGCAGTGGCTTCCTGGAGCTTCCTCAGCTCCTACCCCATCGCTCACTTCCAGCATACCCTGGGAGAGGATCCAGCACCTCGTCCTGCTTGTCCTTCGGGCTGGACCCAAATCCCTGCTGGATGGAGGCCCAGTTAGTGCCCACCTAAATCACGTCACAGCATCACAGAGAGGATAAGCCAGCGAGTGTTGGTCAGAGCCTCCTTCCCTGGGCTGCCATGGAAAAAACAGGTTTAGCATGAGTTGCTCTGGAAAACTCTTCTCCTTGGCACTTCCACCCCTGAAATGCAGAGAAATGGGTTGAGACCGTAGAAAGCAAGGCATGGCTAGCTGTCATCTGCCTTTTCTCATCTGTATATGTGTTTGATCAGTTTTCAATGCTATGGTAAAGACAAGCTTTTAATCTTTGTTTCCCTCTCCCCTCCAAAGTCCCCCTTTCTCAGGCCCAGACCCCATGAAGACCTATAACATCATATTAAGGGGGATAGACATGATTGAATTTCCAAAGAAGATTGCCAAAAATGCTGCTAATTTAATTAAAAAACTATGCAGGTAAGTGGATGAAATATAATCACTTTGATGTTGTTTGCAAAGAAATCGGTCGTTCGGGATTAGGGAAATAACTGCTTTGTTATTCCTTTTGCAGGGACAATCCATCAGAAAGATTAGGGAACTTGAAAAACGGCGTGAAAGATATCCAAAAGCACAAGTGAGTGTCTTCTCCACCAGCCAGCAGATCCAACCCACAGGAACAGGCATTTCAATGTCCTGCTAAAAAAACCCCTTTCTATCCATAATTTAAATTCTTCATCCCTTTGGGTCCGATGGGAGTCATTAAAGTGTCTTAGGAGTTTTCACTCTGCTGCAATGGGATACTCACAAGGTAGAGACCCATTCCAAAAACAGGTTCCCTCATTTGTCCATGCTGGACCTTCTCTCCTCCACCCCCAGTGCAACAGGAGCGGATTGGGTGGATGTTTTTGTGGACAGGGCTCATCCACCCACCGTGAGCAAAGCTGAGGTGCCCAAAGCAGGGGTGGGATGTCCCTGGTTGTGCACGAAGTGCACGTGAAGCTGGGAGCTAATTTCACATGAGAGAAGGACATTATTGGCTCTCAGACTGCAGGGAAGGAGCAGCTTCCAGGACATCTGCAGTGAAGATGGGCTCTCCCCTGAGCACTGGGAACTTGGGTCTACCATTGCCCACGTTTCCTTTCCAGTCCCCAAAAACACATACAGAGATGAGAGGAAAACTTCCAAAGGATCTGAGAGTGACCTGTGTGGGAGATGAAACCCACTGTTTAAGCAATTGTCATTTCTTTCTGTGCTACAAAGGTGTAACTGTTGGTTTTTTTTCCCTCCCTTCAGATGGTTCGAAGGCTTTAACTGGGAAGGGTTACGGAAAGGGACGCTGACACCTCCTATCATACCAAGTGTAAGTTCCTTATTTTCTCCTTCATGACCACTGAGTTTCCTCAGGAATGTTGTGAGCTTCAGGCAGTGGTGAAGTGGGAACAGCATGTGCTTCATTTCTTCTGAAGATGCTTGAAAGAGTTAGACGCATTCCCAGCTAAGCTTGGCCTCCAGGCAGGCTCCTCCAGGCCGAGGCCGTTGGGCAGGGTATGGCCATGACAAAATGCCCCTTGCAGCAGGAGATCAGGGCAGGATCACTCACTCCTACACATTTTTCTCTCTCTCACCTGCTCCACTTGTTTCTCCATCTCCTTTTCCCCATTTCGGTGGAGAGCTGCCACATTCACCCCTTCCCTCAGATGTGTCCTCTTCCCTTCTCCTTTAGTCTTACTTGTTTTGGAAAGACAAGTGGGATTTGTGTGCCATCTCCCTTTTCTTTTGCCTTAACCTCTCCCTCTGTCTTGTCTTTTGTGCTCCTCACCCTTTCTCCCTGCATCCCTGGCCTCCATGAAAAGCCCTGTTCCCGCCTAGTTTATGTTTAACCGGGAGCAGCCGCGCAGGGACAGCTCCGCTCATTTTCCTTTGGAGCAAAGCTCTTCCTTTGATGTCTTTGTGAGCTCTCTCCCCACAAAGCCAGCTGCAAAGGGAAACCAAACAGGATTAGCTGATAGAAATTACCTTGGCCCCTTCTGTTCTGCAGCCTCCCCTCCTGGTTTCAGCCTAATCCCTTTTCTGTGCGTGCCTCTCCCGCGGGATCACCGAGGAATGACATTAGCAGTGGGGTTTCATCGCACCCACCGCTCCGTGCTGCACCTCCTGCAGCAGCACAGCCACAGCTCCAGGGCTAAATCTGCCATCCCAGGGTTTTCTGAGCAGCCAGGAAAGATCAAGGGGGTTTCCCATCCCCCTGTTTTGCCCTGTGGGCTCAGGAGTTACTGGTGGGAGAAAGCAGGACTTAGCGTGTCCCTGAGGCAGGATGGCCAAACAGCACGTTCATGCTTTATAAGTCAAAGCTGGGTTTGGTTGGTTTACTTTTTTCTTTTAAGCTCATTCTAAAATCCTGGAATGGTTTGGGTTGGAAGGCACCTTAAAACCCATCCCATCCCTTAAAACCCCCTGCCGTGGGCAGGGACACCTTCCACCAGCCCAGGTTGCTCCAAGCCCCGTCCAGCCTGGCCTTGGCTTCTTTTTACTGCCTATTAATTAAGCAGCACACACTGCTCACCACATTTCTTCTCAGACCATAAAGTCAAGTTTGCTCCTTTCCATCCAGTTTTATGGGGAGACATTCATTTTCCCTCCTTCAGTCCACCTCTCCGTGGTGGCTGAGAAGGAGCCAGCAGGGCTGAACATGCAGGTTAGCCAATTTATTTTTTTTAAGAAGAAAAAGGCTTTTCCCAGCTCTTAACTCTCATTAGTTACATGGCACTACCAGTGAGGCAATCCAAAGCTGCTCCTGAGCCCTTATCCCGTGGGATTTTTGGAAAGATACAAATTTGCAACCTGCTGCCAGGACACTGCTGAGCCTCAATAGCACAGCTGGAATCTGTGACTGCACCCTCTCCTTAACAGCTCTGGACTCTTGCAAAGAGGAACCAAAGGAACATCAACAGAGTAAACAGACCAGATAAATCAAAAGAAATTTAAACTGCTGCATTTTTCCGGGGTGGGTTTTTTTCCAAAGTGAGTTGGATATTCAGTAATCCTCATTTGCCCCAAGAAGTTCAGCAGCAGGAAAATGCTGCTGCAGCTGGAGGGCACATGAAATTCAGAGCTGAAGTTGGAGCCCCTGTTGATCTAACAGCCTTTTCCTAAGGCTTACAGCAGCATCCAGCATCAAATGGGAATCTCGTGGGGTTTAACAAGGCCCAGTGCTGGTGATGTGCTTGGATCGGGACAGCCCCCGGGATCAATCCTGCCCTGCCCTGCCCTGCCCTGCCCAGAAGGACCTGGGGGTGCTGGTGGGGGAGAGGCTGCACAGCAACCTATTGGAGCAAGTCCAGAGGAGGAGAGGACTGGCTTTGGCTTTTTCCCACAAGTGAAATGGCTAAAAATGGCATCATTTCCTGCCCAGCTCTCCTGCGGCAGCGCAGTTCCCTCCAGCCTGCTCTGCCTGCTTGGGGAAAGGCTGAAAGTACCCAATTTCCTAGCAAGACACTCCTCATTTTGGGCTGGAGAGCTGCTGCTCTGTTCTTGTATCGTTTATTTGTTTTAAATGGCATTGACTGTCAAGGTCTCACTGTAAGAAGGGTTCACTCACTGTTGTAAAGCCAAAAAAATAAGAAATCAGCTATGCTAGATAAATGATGTAATTTCAAAAAGAGAAACGTGGTTGGCCTTATTTCCAAAAGAGAAACACAGTTGGCCCTATCCTAGGAAAGATGGGTTTCCCTGGCAGGGTCCTTAGGCTGAGCAGTACTGGTCAGGAAATTTAAAGGCAGGATGCTGGAGGCATAACTGGGAAACCCTGGGCTTTGGGGAGGCTTTTCCAAGTCCTTTCTGATTGATGCCCTTGTGCCAAGAGGTGGCACAGCTGCTCTTGAACCGCAGCGGGCGTGGATCAGGAGAGTAGGGAATTCTCCTGGGTGTGGAATGCGGCCCTCGCCTGGCTTGCCACAGCTAGAGATGGATGCTGTTGAATGATCAGAGCTGTGAGATGAGGAGCACCTGCCTGCAGAGGCCCCCCTTGCCGACCACCCCCCCTGATGGCCCTGCCCTTGTCGCCCTTGCCGCAGGTCGCATCTCCCACGGACACGAGCAACTTCGACAGCTTCCCGGAGGACAGCGACGAGCCGCCCCCTGACGACAACTCAGGATGGGACATAGATTTTTAATGTCTTTCTCTTACCTGCTTCTGCCTTGCTGAGGACAGCTTTCCTGGGACGTGGCTGCCAGCGAAACCGAGAGAACGCGACTGGGGAGGATTCGTGCTCGGGGTCACCGTGATGCCTTGATCGATGCTGCTACAGTAACTCCAGTGGCATTAGGACTTCCTGCTTAGATGACAGTAGTGCTCTTCATGTTTTCTGTTCGAACACAGGCTGGGGGCTGGCATGGTGGTCCTGACACAGAGCCTTTCACCGGTAGAGAAACTTGTTTTCTGCCACCGCCGAGGTCTTGCTGCGCTCTTAATCACCGAGGTCAGGACACACGTTGTGTGAGACACGCCCGGTCGCAGCTGCGAGGTGCTGGCTTTACCAGTAGGATCAGTAGTAATTTATTCAGTGCTGTAGCCAAATACAGTGCAGGATTTGGGCTATTCCCACCCCCCCAGCTCCGTAGGGCTCCTCCCAGTGTCGGAGCGGGGCAGGCCACGGCGGGCCCGGCCAAAGAGTTCACGTCAAAGCAGTGGTGAAATGTGTCCTTTTCCCTTCTGAGCAGAACCACGACAAGACTGAATGTTACCTTTCCTCTTTGGTTTGGAGAGTTTTTTTGTTGAGCCTGGTAAAACAAAAGCACAACTGCTCGAGATCCTGTGAAGGCGGATATGGGTCGTTTCTCTCACGCTGCAACACCACCTTTGGGGTTTGTTTCCCTTTCCCTTGGTACAAACACATCCCTGCATGAAAACAAAAATCATGAAACTAACCTGTTTGACATACAAAACAGTGCTTGGATCACACTCCCGTAACAAAGTGACAGCAGCCCACTGGTCTTATCGATTAGGCATAAAATTAAGCTCAACTCTGACCTTTTTAGAACCCAGAGGGAAAACGTTAGACCTGTAATGTCCTTTTAAGGTGCTATGTCCATCCCTCACCTGTTCACTCAACCCCCATTTGAGAGATATGTAGCAAGAGGCATCGTCCTCCCTCGCTCTTGGATGACTCCACGTCTCCATCTCCTCCGTGTTTCTTACAGAGCTCATTAAAATCAAAGTACTGGGCCAGCGTGCTGGCTCTGGTGTAATACTGCCTGTAAAAATGGAATCCCAGTGCCTCTCCAGGCTAAGGAAAGTCCATGGAATTAAATGGAAAAGCAATACTGGATGCACCTGTGCAAGGTCTCCGTGTCGCCGGCGTGAGTTCCCCGGTGATCGTGTTTAAGGCACTGTCATGGCCAGAGCCATCATGTGGAAAAACAACCTGGGGAAAACATTATCAGGACACGCTTTTCCCTCACTTCCACTGCTTTTCCTTTGCTTGAATACAGTTTCCCCTGATTTACAGGCTGTAATTCTGTCCTGGATGCCCGTTTGCTGACTTAAAGTATCCTGTAATCCAACAAATCCATCAGATTCCAGTCTCTGTAGCACCCCAAAAAATCACAGAATCATAGAATAATGGAATGGTTTGGGTTGGAAGGGACCCTAAAGCCCCTGCCATGGGTGAGCGGGTGCTGCCCCGTTTCACCTCAGTGCTGTTGAGAGTGGGAAGAGCAGCTCTTGCTGAGAAGGACTTTTTCCCGCTTACTCCGTGGCAAAGGTCTGCATTAACAGTATAATATTATCTCCCTGATGCCAAATCCCAGCTCTTTCCCGTGTTCCAGATGAAAGCAACTTCCCAGAGCGTATTATTTGACGGCGTGGACCATGTCCTGCTGTTTGCCAGCAAACACGAGCTGGGTTGCCTTTGGAACCAGTCTGTGGCACTGGATTTCCTTCCCTGTTTTCCAGAGGGGGAGGCAGCACCGCTGGCAAAGTCCCTTCAGGTTATTCCTGCAGTTCTTTAATCACTGGAACTTTGCCTTCCAGACCCTGTGGGAAAGGCAGTAACTCCTGGCTTTTCCGCCTTTATCCGAGGGATGGACGACACTGAGAGCCAAGGCTGAGCACTAGGGCTAAAATATCCACCAGGCATCTTAGACAACAGGCCTGGCAGCCAAAGTCTTCACTCACCTCCCCCTGGAGTTTCACTCAACAAGGAGAACTTTCTGTAGGGATGTAAAGAGGAGTTTGTCCCAAAAGGATGACACTCCCGCTGTGGCAGGCAAGGGTTTGCCAGGTGGAGAAAGCACCACGAGGATCTGGGGGGGCAACCTAAAAACACGACAGGAAGGAGGGTTTGAAACGGGCTCTTTTTCTTTCTCCTGTCCCTTTTTCCCTGTGCCAAGCACAGGAATCGATACCTGTACTGAAAATGAGTTTATTTTGATATCAGACCCCTCACTCGACTCCCATCACCTCTCCCAAGCATTAACACCACACCATGTATAATATGATAAAAGCCTTCATTTATAATAATATATTTAAGTTGCTTTATATATATATATATATATATACACACACAACAAGGGATTGTCTCTGTGCTTCCACTTTGTGTCCTCATTTCTTTGTCTCCTTCCTCAGTCTGTGGGATGAGGGCGTATTTAGGCTCCCGTATTCCAGCTGAAATCAGCTCCCCTCTTTCAGACCAGGGTGTTGGTTGGTGTCATGACCACATGGCTGATCTGTCGCTTCTCCCAGCACCGCATTTCCCACAGCAAACTCTTCTTTACCGACAGGACCATGAGCGAATATTTCTGTAAATAGGTGTTTTCGTGTCGGTATTTTGTGGTACACATTGAACTTTCTGTTCTTTTCCAGCCCCATGGCATTATTCCTTCGTTTCCTTATTTGTAATGTAATGTTTTTTAGCTCAAAGTAGACTTGAATTAATGTCATATTTGTCAGTATTATTAAACTTTATGTCAACTGTCCTGTTAACTCACCTGTCCCATGGTTTGAGAACATGACTAGCTATCTGGCATTGTTGCAAGTGCCTTAAATCCATGGCATCTTATTAAAAAAAAAAAAAAATTACAAATTTGGTGTTATGCTGCATGACAAAGACAAACACACCTCAAACTGTCGTCCTTTCTTAGCTTGCTGCGTTTTACAGTTCTTTCTGCGACCGATTTCTATGCCTTTATTATCTAAAACTGACGAATTACAGAAATGATGAAGTCGTTCTCTTATTTCTGTTCAATGTACCAGAGCTGTGTATCTGTTAATGAGATACAGAGTCATTTCTGTGAAATGTATAAATGTTACGTGCGGGTCAAATTCCTCTCTGACATCCCAGCAGTCCGTAGACAGGTATTCCTGTTCCGCTGAGCCCTGCAGATCCCACCCATCGTGCCGTCCCGTCTCACACAGCCCCCCTCGGGGAATCTCCCGCCTGGAAAAAAATCCGCTCGCTGTGAACCCAACCTGCCTTTTTTTTCTTTGCCCTAAAACCCCAAGGCGAAGGCGTAGCTCGTTCGCACCGCTCCACACAGCAGTGCTTTCCCCTCCCTGATCCCCTCCGGCCGCAGCCACCGCCGGGATGAGCCCTCGGTGCTCCCACGGAGCTGCCACGCTGGAAGCTCCTCGGCCGCAGCTCTCCAGCCCCGACACCGAGACTTGGGCGCCTTTAGGGCTTTCTCAGCCAAAGGGGAAAATCCCTCTCACCCCGGCCCCAGCTGATGCTGTTTTCTACACCACCCCTTTGGTTTATATCCTTATTTTCCCCAGCTTTCTTCCTCCACGGGAGAGGTTTTGTTTGTCGGACAGATGTCGGTCACCCCCCGCTCGGTGGCCGCTTGCACTCTTTTGATGTTGACTGAAGAACTTTGGGTTTTTTTCATAAACTTTAACTGCTTTTGTTTGGCTCTGTACTTTCCCTGCAGCTGTAATTGCCGAGTGCCTGTTGTATACTTTATAGAGTTGAAATAAAAATAATTACTTTTGAACAACGTGTCAAGGGTTTCCTTCCGCAGCCCAGGCTGAGTCTGGGAGAGTTCTGCTGCTCGGGGATTAAACCGGGGCGAGGGGGGTCCTGCTCCAGCCGGGTGACCCCCACAGCTCACTTCCAGCCCAAACCATCCTGTGAACACAGCGGCAGCACCTTCCCTCCCCGGGGATGGAAAATTCCCTTTCGTATTTTGACTGCTGCTAATATAAGGGAGTCCTGGGAAGGCACCGTGTTCCCAGCGCGAGCTGTGTCATCCCTGCGGAGGATGTGACTCAAAACAACACCGCTGTCCAAAGAATGGTTGCCAAGAGGAGCTGTGGCTGCCTCATCCCTGCAAGTGTCCAAGGCCAGGTTGGAGCAACCTGGGAGAGTGGAAGGTGTCCTGTCGATTCCACGATACGCAGGTGAGAAAAACCCGGGGAAAGGAGCAAGAAAACATCCTCCCAGGAGGGAAATAACTGCGGTAACTGCCTAAGGAGGAGCTGGGAACCATCCCAAACCGTTCTGCAGGATGCAGCAATCGCGGGTCCAAGTTAATCAGGCAATAAAAAACCCAGGGTGACGTGGCCCTCACTTGAAACTGCCGGGGGAACACCGGGATTTCGGGGCGAGGCGTGGCCCTCCTTGTCCCAGGCTAAAAATAGGGAAGGCAGGGATGGGCGGGCTGTGCCGGGGGTGCCGTGACTCAGCCCTCCCGCTTCCGACGGCACCTGCCCGGGGTGCTCGCCGAAACCTTCCCGGGCAATTATTAGCCCGACTGGAGCCATTTGGACCTGGAACAACTGATAGGGAATAGCGGGAGAGCGCGGGTTCATTGCAGGCAATTGCGGAATCCTCCCCCCACCGCCCTCCCGGGGCTTTCAGCCGTGCTGGGGCACCGCTCGGGCTCTTCGCCTGTATTCGTATTTAACCCACCCCTAGAAAATGAATAAGCGGCAGCTCTAGGCGGCCGCCGG